TCCTTCCTTCCTTCCTTCCTTCCTTCCTTCCTTCCTTCCTTCCTTCCTTCCTTCTCCCTTCACTATTTCTATTGTTCGATTGGCATCCTTGATGACTTCCCAGTTTTTCCCACAACATGAAGTGTCTCATTTATTTGTTAGTCAGGAAGTATCAAGTTTGTTTGTTTATTTGTTTGTTTTGGCCAGTCCTTAGGTTTGAACTTAGGGTCTGGGAACTATTCCCGAGCTTCTTTTGTTCATGGCTAGCACCCTTAACACTTGAGCCAGAGCACCACTTCTGGCCTTTTCTGTTTATGTGGTACTGCAAGCACCTTACCACTGAACCACATTCCCAGCCCCAGGAAGTATCAAGTTTATGTTGTGAATTGTTTTTGAAGTAGAGTTATTTTTTCTCACTTCCTTTGTCCTGTGTTTCTCTCTCCTGAAAGACAGTAACCCGTCTAGAGCAAAGTCTTTCTGAAGCTATGGAGGCTCTGACTCGTGAACAGGAAGGAGCCAGACTACAGCATCGGGAGCAAGAGGCCCTGGTAAGAAGACAGAGATCACTGAGAATGAATCACTGGTAATTCCAGTGGCAGCTGTTAATCATTTCTAGACACCTATGGGCTATTGGTGGACAGTGGGCATTTATACATTTAGTGGCATCAGATAAGTTTTGAGAGGCTGAAAATGTCGACCTCAATAGAGTGATAGAACCATCTAGAAAATTATTTTAAAATATAAACTTCTGGAACCCACCCTTCAAAATTAAAGGTTTTTGTTGTTCGTGGTGGTGGTATTTTTTTATTTTATTTTTTGTGGTACTAGGGATGAAACCCAGGGTCTCATTCTAGGCAAGTATGTTACCATTGAGCTACACATCCCTAGCTCACCCAGATGTAAGTTTTGTTTGTTTGTTTGCATTTGGAAAAAGGGTTTAGCTATGTAACCCAGGCTGGCCTGTAATTTTCTTTTCTTTTTTTTTTGGGGGGGGGTCCGGTTATGGGGCCTGAACTCTGGGCCTGGGCGCTGTCTCTCAGCTCTTCAGCTCAAGGCTAGCGCTCTACCACTTGAGCCACAGCGCCACTTCCGGCTTTTTTCTTTTTGCTTATGTGGTGCTGAGGAATCGAACCCAGGGCCTCAGGCATGCAAGGCAAGCGCTCTACCACTGAGCCACCTTCCCAGCCCTGGCCCGCAATTTTCTATATGTAATGCAGACTAGTCTTGAACTGGCAGTCCTCTTGTCTTTCAAGTGCTTGGTACCCAGATGTTTTGATTCAGTACATGTATGTTGTTCAGCCCGTTTTAAGAACTCTTCAGGTTTAGGGCATAGTCCCAAAAGGTATGGGTTGGGTGTGAGACTCAAGTTTCTTGGAGCTGAAGTGGCCAAATGATTATCTGTATGAGTTGTTAGCCAGGTTTGGAACTTGTTGCTTGTATGACATACGCTTGCTTCATGCAGGCTTACTTATAGTCTTAATAAGTAAGTCTGACTGCTAATGGAAGTGAATCCTTGTCTAGCTCCTGGCTATAGGTTGGATTTTCCAGTCTTTGCGGAATTTCTTTTGATAATGATGATAATAGTTATTGTGTATTGAGTACTTAGTATGTGCCAGACACTTCACTAACTGTATTTTCTATGCTTTTCACTTTAATCCTGAAAAGGCAGACCCTGTTACTTTACAGATAAAGAAATGTGCTTAAAAATACATAATAAGCTGGGCATGATGATACAGCCCTATAATCTCAGAACCTGGGAAGCTAAGGCAAAATGATAGTGAGATTGAGACCATCCCAGGCTACATATGGAGACCCTGATTCAAAAACAAAAACAAGAAAACCACAGCGTAAATGAATGACAGAACTAGGATTCAGACTGTAGTTTGAATCCTATCCATCTAACTCTAGGATAGGAGTTTTTTGTTGTTGTTTGGGTTTTGTTTTTTTTTTTTTTTTTGGTGCTGGTCTTGTGGTTTGAACTCAGGGCCTAAGCTCTGTCCGTAAATTTCTTTTGCTCAAGGCTAGCACTCTACCAGTAGAGCCACATTTCTACTTCTGGCTTTTTGTAATTAGTTGGAGATAAGAGGTTTATAGACTTTCCTGCCGGGGCAGGAAACTTTGGTCCTCAGATCTCAGCCTCCTGAATAGCTAGGATTACAAGCATGAGCCACCAGTGCCCAGCTTGGGTTAGGAATTCTTACCTACTCTATTATAATCTTCTATGTTTCTTCACTGTCATAAACCTCAGTGGGCATATTGTATAGGCGTGGTGGTAGTGAGTTGCTGATCTCTTGAATGCTTATTAAAAATTTGGAGTTTGGGAAGAGGGAGTCTGAGGGTATAGCTCAAGTAGTAGAGCACTGCCTAACAAGAATGAGTCTCAGTACCCTTAAGGGAGAGAAGAAGAAATCCTTGTTTTCTCTTGGTGCTTTAGGAGGAGGAAAGGCAAGCTCTGGCCCTGAGCTTGGAGGTAGAGCAGCAGCGGTGCCGTGCCCTGCAGGACGAACGGGATGAGGCTCGTGCTGGGCAGCTCAGTGAGCTCCGGAAGCTGGAGACTCTTCAGGTTACCCTAGAAGAAGAGCGGCAGGCTTGGGCCCAGCAAGAGCTCCAGCTAAAGGAACGCCACCAAGCACTGCAGGAAGAAAGCCAGGCTCAGCTGGAAAGGGAAAAGGTGAAAGTGGTGCTTTGAAGAGTTGGGAATGGGATGAGATATTAGAATATATGTATGATATAGAGAGAGTGAAGAGCTAAATAAAGGTGAGGGCGTATAGGTCTAGCTGGAAGGGATGGGGGTAATGTGTAACATTAAACCAGGATGGGAAAATATGATCTTTGGGACAAGAGAAAAAGGAAGCTTGGGTTTTATTTATGTCACCAGAGGATGCATTGAAGAACAGAGGTAACCAGGAGCTAGGAGGTGAGGCTTGCATTTATGTTTGCATTCTCTTTCTTAGGGGAACAGTCAGAGGGAGGCCCAGGCAGCCCGGGAGGTCCAGCAACAGTTGGCGCTGGTGCAGGCCGAGGTGCGGCGTCTGGAAGGAGAGCTGGACACAGCTCGGAGAGAAAGAGATGCTCTGCAGCTGGAAATGAGCTTGGTTCAGGTCAGCAGGCAGAGTACTCTTGGTTTTTTTTTTTCTGGTTGAGAAAAGCAGGGCTGAGGCAGTCACAGAAGATGATCCCATCTCAGGTATTCTGAGTTGATTCCATCAGTGGCTTCTGTGTGTTATTTGGTAATATTCTCTTGTAAACTCAATCATTTATCTCTAGGTAACAGTTTCCCACAATGCAGACTAATCTAGGGCAACCTTAAGAGTATATAGACTTAAATTGATTGAAGATAGCTCATGTTATTTTATTTTACTTGATTTTTAAAATCATTATTATCATTTGTGTGTGTATGAATATGTGTGTGTGTGTGATACTACGGTTTGAATTCAGGGCCTCACACTTGCTAGGCAGGTACTCTGACCTGTGAGCCATGTCACCAGCCTCATGTTAATTTAAAAGAGATGAGACTACACTTAATTGCATAGATTATATGAGCAGGTGAAGGTTTTAGTCAGAGACCTGATTCCAACAGTGACAGTCTGCTTTGTAACATTCATTAATGACTTGGGTTAAGTCCTCTATATAGGTTGGGGATCCAGGAAGGCACGATGATGTTCATAGCCTGGCATAGTATAGTGTTCAACATTGTTTTTAATATAGACTTAGGAAAACGTTTTCCATCTAAGTAAATCTCAAAGTCAAATTAGTTAGACCTCGGTCATGAAATAGAGCAGACAGTAGTTGTGGATGTACTCTGCTTATAAAGCAAAAGACACTGACATTTATGGACTTCATACTGGATTTCAAGTATTTTGCTAAGGATAACTACATAAGTTCTCTCAGACATATGATTTGATTACTTTGCCTAAACACATTTCCTTGGGCTGATATTTTGTCCCAAGTAGTTTTCACCTGTATGTACATATAAGGTATGTGTACATCATGGTTTAGTAAGAAAGAGGACTTAGGTTACAATTTTTACTCTTTATTCCTTAGGCAGATTCAGGGAATGTTAGTTGTGGTTCTGTCCATATTACATCCTCAGTCCTCTTCTCAGCCTAGACAGTACTGAACTGACTGCCATCCCAACCTCCTTCACTCCCAGGCCCGGTATGACAGCCAGCGGATCCAGATGGAGTCAGAGCTGTCTGTGCAGCTGGAGCAGCAGGTGACAGAGCGGCTGGCGCAGGTGCAGGAGAACAGCCTGCGGCAGGCAGCCTCCCTGAGGGAGCAACACAGGTACTTGGGACTTCTTAGGTTGCAGTGAGTATTGCCCACGTGTTCAAAGCCCTTTGCTATTTTCTAGCCACTTGCTCCCAGGGTATACTTTCACTCCCATCAGCCAGGACCTTAATCCCTCTTAGGAGTGCTGCCATCAGGTGCTCATGGAGAGCCAGATGTCCTGAGGATTTTCTTCCCACAGGAATAGCCTGTAACTGAGAACTGAAGGCTATAGGTCTATGGGGCCTCCAGTCCCTTGCTGAGGTGGAAGCGGAGCCATCTCTAGAGCTGCTCTGTGGGAGTAACCTTCCTGAAGTGCTCCTCTGTGCCCCTCCCCCCACATTCCTCACCACTTTCTGCAAATGCTTCTTTTTTTTTTTTTTTGCCAGTCATGGTGCCTGAACTCTGGGCCTGGGCCTGGGCACTGTCCCTGAGCTCTTCAGCTCAAGGCTAGTGCTCTACCACTTGAGCCACATCACCATTTCCAGCTTTTTCTGCTTATGTGGTGCTGAGGAGTCGAAGCCAGGGCCTCTGGCATGCAAGGCAAGCACTCTACCACTGAGCCACCTTCCCAGCCCCTGCTGCAAATGCTTCTTAAATAAGTCACTTTCCCTTAAGTCTTCATGTCATCTTAAGAAGTTCATCTTGAGACCCTAGCTTCGTTCTTACCTTTTGCTGTGCTGTGGCCAGACCAGAAGACTCACTGTTACCCCATCTCCTACACATTCTGTCTTCTCCTCACTGATTGCATCTTCTGTCTCCAATCTCAGTCCTCTTTATTCATCCATACCCTCCTAGGAAGCAGCTTCAAGAGCTCAATGGACAGCATCAGCAGGAACTGGCCACCCAATTGGCTCAGTTCAAGGTAGAAATGGCAGAACGAGAGGAACGGCAGCAGCAGGTGGCTCAGGACTATGAGCTCAGGTACTGGTCCCTGGAAGTCCCTAGTAGTCCTCAGCTTCTTCCATGGGTAGAGTCCAGACTAGGGTTGGTAAAGAGCTGCATCTTAGAAGATTTTTCCTCTTTCATATTGGCCAGCTTCTTTAGAACTTGAAAGGTCTGACTTTCCATCTTGGCTTTTCTTAACTTCCAAGTTTCTGCTTCATTTTATTTTTTATTTTTTTGTGGGACTACTGAGGCCTGAACTCAAGGACTTAAGATCTCATAGCTTGTTTTTCTTAAGGCTGACACTCTACTACTTCAGCCACGCTTCCATATCTGGATTTTTGCTGGTTAACTGCTGGAGATCACTCAGAGTTGTCTGCCTGGGTTGGCTTCAAATCAAGATCTTCAGATCTCAGCTTCCTATAGTAGTTAGGATTATATGCAGGAGTCATCAGGACCCAGCCTCTGTGCTTTAAAAGTCCTTACTTTTACCCTTCTCTTCAGACTGGCACGGGAGCAAGCTCGAGTTCGGGACCTACAGAGTGGGAACCAGCAGCTTGAAGAACAGCGGGTGGAGCTGGTAGAACGACTCCAAGCCATGCTTCAGGCCCACTGGGATGAGGCCAATCAGCTGCTCAGCACCACACTCTCATCTTCTAACTCGCAAGTATGCAATGCTTCAAAGAACTATCTCGCCAAAATAAACGTTTTTGTCATGGCCATAGCTCACCCAGACTGACCATATTCCATTGAACGTAACTTTTCTCCCAGACTCATAGGTGGTGAATAATATGCGATTCTAATTTAGTGAAATAACAGCAGACTAAATTATGGGAATCAAGGTTAAAAATTGTTGCTAAGTCCTGCTCTAGAGTAGAATATGGAGTCTTATTCCTAGCTAGCTCTTCTCATGTTGGCATCTTGCACATTCTTCTTATTTTTATTTTTTTGTTATAATGGTGGTGTACAGAGAGGTTAGAGTTACATAAGTCAGGTAAAGAGTACATTTCTAGCTGAGTACCAGTGGCTAGAAATGTACTCTAGTACTAGTAGCTAGTACTCCTAGCTACTCAGGAAGCTGAGATCTGAGGATCTCCGTTCAAAACCAGCCCAGGCAGGAAAGTCCATGAGACTCTTATCTCCAATTATCCACCAGAAAACTGGAAGTGGCACTGTGGTTCAAGTGGTAGAGCGCTATCCCTGAGCTCAAGAGCTCTCAGGGATAGCGCTCAGGCCCAGCGCTCAAGCCCCACAACTGACAAAAAAAAATTTGGGTTGAACTCTGGGCCTGGGCGCTGTCCCTCAGCTCTTCAGCTCAAGGCTAGCGCTTTACCACTTGAGCCACAGTGCCACTTCTGGCTTTTTTTCTGCTTATGTGGTGCTGAGGAATCGAACCCACGGCCTCATGCATGCGAGGCAAGCACTCTACCACTGAGCCAACTTCCCAGCCCAAAAAAGTACATTTCTTTTGGGACAATGTTACCATTCCTTTGCTTTCTCCCAGTTTTTCCTTCCCATCTCTACCTACAAGTTGTATAGTTCATTTCAACATAGTGTCCATTGAGTACCATAGCTGCATTTGTTCACCCTTTGTCCCTGTATTTCTGTGCCTGCCCTTATATTCCCAAAGATATATAAATGAACAAACAGAACAAAAAGAGAAGAAAACAGTAAAAGGGGAAAAAAAACCTCTTATTTCCATTTCTTGGAATTCATTTCGATAAATATTTTGTATGATCAGATGCATATAGGAATTGTGCCTTTCTCTTCTTCTCCTAAGAGTAGCCTCCTTGGGTCTCGCTGTATGTGAATGCCTAGAGACCTGTAACATTCTTCTTTTAATTATGAACTTGTTAGTATTAACTAACATGTTTTGTAAAATAAGTAATAATATGCACTGATAAAAAGGAAATCCTGAATATTAAGAGTTCACAGCAAATATTATCTCCTATCCCTGTGCCTTAGCCTCCCAATTTCTCGCCTTAGAAGTAAAAACAGCCTTATCTCCCCTCTCATCCATCCCACCCATATCCCAAATGTTCACCTTCTATCTACTGCCATATGCCTTTTTTTCAACTAAGTTTTTTTTTTTTTTT